ACTGCCCATAAACGATTTTTATTCAAGTGTTTTTCTAAACGATGATTTAGAGAGTGAGTTTAAGAGAGATTTTTAGAGATGCTCGCAGACAGCAGCAGCATCAAATCAGAAAAGTCTAATCTTGACGGCCAAATGAAGCTATTGATCTCAAGACAAAGAAAAGGGAAACTAGCATCGAGTCAAGGCAAAACCTCAAAAGCAAGAGTGGCGACTCATCCTTGTACCATGATGACTCGGATGATTTCTACTACCACAGTCCCCTGCATGTATATGCTGCCATTCACTGACCATCCTTTTTCATATATATGCTGCCATTCACCGACCATCCTTTTTGTTGATTTGCCGATCATTCGTTCGTGCTGAAGACGTACACGCGCATGCAACTAGAAAGGCCTCCTCTTCTAGAGATTTTCCCTTTAGGGCCTGTTCGTTTAGGTAAGGATTGGTCCGGGAATCGTTCCGGCTGCTGATAGCTTATATAAATATGGCAAACAATCCGGCCAGGAACGGTTCCAGACAGCGGTTCCATGAGAAACGAACGGAGCCTTAACATAACACTAGTGCGTTCCCTTTTCTTTCTTTAGGATGTTGAAATTCGTTGTAGTCAGTAGATGACGCACATTCTATTCCGCTCCCCTGTTGATCCTGCGCATGGATGACTCAGCTCGATGGTATCTTTTTTCTTTTTCCTTTTCCTTTTTTTTTTGAATGAAGATATCAAAAGAGTGAAAGACCATGCATGTTCCAGCTGTAAAAAAAAGGTCCACGTTCTAAGCTTTAGTCATCGTCAGTACAAGGATAAGATCATCCAAAAAGAATTAGTTTTTTTAATAAAGGATAGTTTATATCCGGCTTCATCTACACCAAGGTAGAATCAAACCAATTATTAAAAAGTTTGGGCCGACGGCCGACGCCCAAGAACCAAAATGAGTCTACAACCAGACTCGAGGATAACAAAGCGTGAAGCAGATCCTGACTACTATAGACCAATAAACCTAAATGACAACCACCCATTGAAACTAAAAAAATGCAAAGCCGACGTCTCCAAATGCTCTCCAGCAATGGTCAATTGGTCTTGAAGATCATCATGCTGCTGCAATCTTGCACATTGCCTTAGCCAATGGGTTCCCCTGAATAATACCTGCAAAAAAGTTTTCGGTCTACACTTGTCAAAAACCACTTTATTTTTTGTTATCCAAATTGTCCAACATAAGGCTGATGCCAGCTGTTAATAATAGCAAATTATGTATGTTACCACCCGCTTTAGACCATTAACAAATAAATCGTCTATGCTATTGGGGTGATATCCCAAACATTAAGTGTGCAGCTCGCCATAGGAATTTGGCATAATAACATTGAAAAAAGAGGTGTTGAATGGTTTCTGGGCAGTGACAGAAGCAGCATCTTTTGTCACCATTCCAGTTACGGTGGGCAAGGTTGTCCTTGGTTAAAATGACACCTCTTTTTAGATACCATAAGAATATTTTAATTCTTGTAGGAATTTTGATCTGCCATAAATCTTGTGACACTCTGACCCCATTGTTAATTAACGCAGCATACAAAGATTTAACAGAAAAGCTACCTGATGAATGCAATGACCAAATAAAAACATCTCTTTCTTCTTGTAAGTTCACACCTTGTAGAGATGCAACGATTCTATGCCGGTCCCTCAGGTTCCGACCCACTAGATTGCGGTGAAAGGAAATGTTCAGCGGGACTGATGCAAGTACTTTTGCCACGGAATCTTGCTTTCTTCTCACAATGTTGAACAACACGGGAAATTTATCTTTGAGAGGTTGACTACCCAACCAAGTGTCCATCCAAAAACGAGTCTGTGACCCGTCTTTTACTTTGAATGAACCAAAACTCATGAAAGTGTCTTTGACATTCATCAGACCTTTCCAAAAATGAGAATTTGTTGGTCTTTTTGTACAGCCCCTAAAGTCTTGTCTTTTAAGTATTTATTTCTCAATAGCTCTTGCCACAAGCCATCCTCATTTAAAAGTTTGAAAAGCCACTTACTCAACAAACATTTGTTTTATAACTCCAAATTATGAATACCTAGGCCACCTTGTAATTTTGGTTGGCACAAGATTTCTCATTTGGCCAATCTATATTTGCGCTTGTGTTGTTCGCTTTGCCAGTAGAATCTTGATCTAAAGCAGTCGATCTTCTCCAAAACTCCTTTTGGGATTTCAAAAAATGACAGCATAAACATCGGTAAGCTAGAGAGCACCGAGTTTATTAGGACCAAACGGCCTCCTACCGAAAGCATCTTTCCTTTCCACCCACTAAGCTTGTTTTCAATTCTATTTTCTATTACCCTCCAATCTTTATTACTCAATTTACTAGTGTGCATAGGCAAACCCAGATAGCGAAAGAGATATTTGCCCAACCACATCCAAACAACTGCGAATAAAACACCTCATGATCCCTTGCTTTACCAAAACAAAAGATTTTGCTCTTGTGAAAATTAATTTTGAGCCCCGATAGTTGTTCAAAAGTGCTTAGAATTAATTTCATATTAACCGCCTTCTGAACATCGTGACTCATAAACTTCTACCTGACCTGCTTCCTTAGCTCTAGCAATTTGTATGGCCAACATGTCCACCACTATATTAAATAGTATTGGAGACATTGGATCACCTTGCCTTAATCCTTTTTTTGTTTGGAAGTATGAGCCAAGCTGGTCATTCACTTTAATGTTTACATTTCTCTCCTGTGTAAACCGGCCGCACCCACGAACACCACTTATGCGAGAAGCCCTTCATCCTTAAAGTTTGTTGTAGGAAGTCCCATTTTACTTTGTCATAAGCCTTTTCAAAATCTATTTTAAAGATTATCCCATCCTGTTTTTTTTTCGAGTGAAGTTCATGGATTGTCTCATGAAGTATCCACGCCCTCCATAATGTTTCTTCCGGAAGAAAGGCCGTTTGTGTTGGTCTAATAATCTTCTTCGGGCAGCAAGAGATAGTCTATTTGTCATAACTTTGGTAAAGATCTTGAAAGAAACATTTAACAAAACATATAGGTGCAGTATTGTTGAATGACTTTCATATCTTTTTTTTTGGCAATAAAATTATAGTTCCAAAGTTGAGACTATGCAAAGGCAAGTTCCCTCATGAAAATCCATAAATGAGCCATCAGATCTTCTTTTACCATGTCCCTGAAGACCTGATACAACTCTAATGGAAAACCATCTGGGCCCGGTGCCTTATTATGTTCCATCTGAAAAATTGTTGCCCTGACCTCAAACTCTGTGAATACATCAGTCAGGTACTCATTTTCTAGTTCAGATACTTGTGGAATATCCTAAACAAGGTGTTCATCTAATTTCATATTAGAGTTATCTGGTGGGCCAAACAGGTTTTTATAATAGTTGGTAATATGCTGCTTTAATTGAGCATCACCATCTATTATAGTGTCACCGTCCTCCAACTGGAAAATACGAGTTTTTCGGTGCCTACCATTAGCCAACAAATGAAAATATTTAGTATTAGCATTCCCTTCCAGTAGGTGCTTAACATTTGCCCTTTGGTATCATTTAACTTCCTCCTCTCTAAGTAATTCAGCGAGTCTCTCACTTGGCACATGTTTCAAATTTAACTCCGTCTCATTCAGCAGGAGGTTCTCTGCCTTCTTATCTAGCTCATCGAGTTTGTCTAGCATTTCCTTCTTTTCTTTCTCATAAGTGCCACTCACATTTTTCGCCTTGACCTACGAGGTATTGGCGAAGTCTCAGATCTTTGCTTGCCACCTCTCTCTGGGGATCGCCGTCGACTGAACACTATGCCACACATCTCGCACCATGTCACAAAATCCATCTCTAAGCAACCATCCCAGTTCAAACTTGAACTAGGGTTGGTAAGTCTGAGATGGGCTATTTGTACTACATAAGAGTGGAGTGTGATTAGAGATCTCTCTATTTAAAGCATGGACGGTTGTAAGCGGATATTTGATTCAAATTCCATACAAACTAGAATCTTATCTAACTTCTCAAAGGTCTGATTTTGCAGGTGATTAGCCCAAGTAAATTTTCTTCCTGCCATCTCCAACTCTCTAAGACTTAACATGTCAATAACAGCATTAAAAAGAAAAGGACATATGTCGTTGTAGTTTTCATTATTTTTCTCATCTGGGCTACGAATAATGTTGAAATCACCACCTATGATAATAGGTACGGTCTCTTTTGAACATACTCTAACCAACTTAGATAAGAAATGTGATTTGAGATCTAACTGAGCTGGGCCATATACTGAGATTAAATTAAACTTGAAGTCATCCTCCTTATATCGTAATTTGAACCGAATAAAAAAATCTCTTTCTTCTATCTGGCCAATGTCAAAAGTTAAAGGATTTATTCCTAAAATCATACCACCGGACCGACCCTCGGAGCCATGCAATGCCATAGAAAATCTCTACCCGCGCAAATATTATTCAAGGTCGATTGCGGAAAGTTGGCTCTCTCGGTCTCCGATAATGCAATAAAATCTAAGTCCTTTTCTTTTGTCAAGTCGGATAGGAACCTATATTTTTTCGTATCAGCAAACCCTTTGCAATTCCAAAAAATTCCTTTCATCTAGAATGGTGTCTAATTTTTTTCTTATTAAGCTTGAAACTAGATTTTTTGGAATGTGATATAGGGGTCCGTAGACACAAAGGGTCACAGCCCCCATCACCTAGGTCTTTAGAAATTTCTACACAAATTAAATTTAAGGCATCTAGGTCCATGTTTTCTTCTAAGGAACAAACAGTGGAAGTATCGTCCAACAAAGCTTTACTTTTTTCCTCTAAACTATTGTTTGCTGACATTCTAGCAAATTCAATATCTCTTAAACTTTTCAAAGAAAGAGACACTTCTTGTTCATTAGAGCCAAGAGAGATTCCTAACGAGCTAGTTGTATACAGCAACATAGAATCATCGAGAATATCAAAAGAGTGTGGCAAAGTCTCATTACCTTTGACTGAAGATGCATTCAAGTTTTTGCGTGCTTTTAACTTCATCGTCTCTCCAAAGAGTCTTGGTCCAAAGTAGACACATTTCTCTTACGAGCTCTCACTGGTGACACTGCCCCACCGTTCAAAGTTTTAGACTGCAACAAACTAGCTTTCCACTGTGCCGAACCATCTAGAATCATCCCACACGGAGAGAGCGGTACTACAGGCTTGTATGTACTCTTCTCTCCCACTGAAGCGGATTCTGTAACTTCCAAGTTTGAATGCTGGAGTATTGCACCTACAGTAGCCGCCAAATCCTGCTGGACTCCAGCTGCTCCTGCAAGCTTAGCTGCCATGACCATGCTCTCAGTGGATGCTCCTGTCACAGCCTTGGACTTGTGCTGCCCATTTGGTGCAACTGAAGCATTGGTCTGTTTACCAGGTGCTTTACCAGCTGGATCATCTGCTGTTTTGTTAGCATCATGATCCATATTCTCCGGTTCCTTTTCTTCTGGGGCTTTGTCCTCAACCATGGTAGAGTCCATGTCAATGACCTGGGACTCACCATCAGGCATATCTTTTTCAACTCTGAATTGTAGCTCATAAACAAAATCCCCAATGACAACATCCACAAGGTCAGGGATGAGGTCAAGATTAAACACTGCCACTTTCAATCTGGCTCTTCCATTCTTCTTAGTGAATTTAGTGTCCACTGCACGAGGAACACCCAAAATTGAGCCAATTGCCCAAATGATGGGAAATTCTCATAGCTCTTTTGGAAGACCCCGGAATTGCACCCATACCTTGTCAATCTCATGCTTAAAGACATCATTTTCAGCCCCTTTCTCGAACCGAATCTTTCCTTTCACTGTCTTTGTGTCCATTGGGCCCTAATTCACCATGTGATTAAGCACTTCAGCAGAAGGGAAATTAGTGATAAAGGCATCATTGCCTTTCTCTTCAATCACCCAACTATGTCCAGGCAATAGTTTGTCAAGTTCCACTGCTAACTGGTCAGCAGTAAGAGAACCCTCCAAAACACGTACCACGGCGGACTTGTCATCTGAAGGTAATTTTGGATTTTCAATGACAGGTATAAAATAGAAGCCCATACCTTCTACAGCATATCCACATGGTATAGCAGTAGCTTGTAAATTCTTCAAATTTGGACATACTTTTTTAACATGATCACCAAAACAAATCTCGCAACTAAGCACAGCAGTACAAACCGACATCGTATGCCCTTTAGTGTGACAACGATAGCAATATGGTTTACCCTTGCTTTTGTGATTCCCTCCCTTTTGGGATGACTCTGGCACATCAATCAAGACTCCTGCAGTGTTTAATCCTGGCGAGGCAGTGTCGGTGTTGAGACTTTTAGGAATTGGCAGCGTTGTCTTAGTCGTGGTCGTCGTCGAAGCAGCCTGGTGCACTGGCCCCGATGATGATGCCGAGTTTGGAGCAACATGTGCCGGCCCCCCTTCCTGGATTGTCGGTAGGGGGTCCCGCCTCGGCGACGGTGTTTCGCCACTGCGTTGATAGGGCCCTCAGATCGGTCTTTGGCCGGTACCGTGGTCTAGGGTTCCAACCCCCACGGCCACCGCGACGCCTCCATACCTCCGCCTTGAGGCCGACCACCACGCCCAAAGACCAAGTAGCGGGGTGCCCGTGAGTAGTTGTAGCCATAGCCGGCTTGCCCTCCATAGCCTCGTCCTCGTCCACGAGGGTGAAACTGATCGTGGCCGCGACCTCGCCCGGCAAACCCTGGGTCGAAACCCGGTTGAAAACCGGGGTTGAAGGCCGCACCCCTGCCACCTCCACGCCCACCGAGATCGCCACCAGAACTCGCTCCTGGCGCCGCCATTGATTTTCCTTCACATACAACCTCCACGAACGAGGATCGAGTCGGCGTCATAGAAGGAAATGGCGACGTCTTAGGTGGGACTCTGTGTTTGTGAATGACTCGATTCCTGTGCGCCTAAAAAACGCACATAAACCGATGGTGGGCCGAAAAATCTTTCCGAGCCCAAGTACCACATGCTCTGCCAGTCCAGGAAACCCTTGAGCCGACTTCTCTGTCGCACCCGTCGTGACGCACGCAGCCGAAGCCGATAGCATCGTACGTGGAAGCGGAGGAAAGAGTGGATCAAGATTCTGAAATTTCGATGATTCAAAATAATTTGAATTCGTTGTCTTCCCACGGGCGGACCTCGCCGATGAACCAACCCGTCGAGGCGCCCTCGTCGACCTCCGGTGAGAGCCGGATCTCCTACGGTAAGTTTGCAAAGAAGAGCGTCGCTTAAAGGTCCTCGGCGGTGAGACACGAGGAGGCAAATGGCCCTTGCCATGGCCTACCATCGGTTTTCTCTCCACCATCTTTGAAACAATCGAATTTGCTAACTTGAGATCGGAAGATGAAGAGTACTACTACGAATTGAAGGCATTCTCGGCTCTGGACAAAAGCTCGAGCGTGAACCCCGCCTCCAGAGCCTCTTTGATGAACTCAGGTGTAAACGGTTCATCATCGGTTGTAGGTGGTACGACGCATTTACCGGTGACGTCGGCCAACGGCGGCTCCCCATGGCCATCCTCCTCGTCCAGATCGGAGTCATCGTCCTGCATCCAAAACTTGAAAGGAATGGCAGTGGAAGATGAAACACCGTGGATGGGTTTCGGTCAACGCGACGCTGCGTTTTGCGCTAAGCCCACGACCCGCGACAATGCCGCGCGGCCCTCCTTGCTACTACGATCATTTGCTTCCTCATCGTCTTCCCCACCAACCTCCATGGACTGAGCCGACGGACGTAGCGCTCGACATGCCACCGGGGCGAGGGTGAGCCTACGCCCTCTCCGGCCATTGCCGGACATACGGATCAGAATTGAGGTTTGAGTTCCAGCACTCCACGAGAAAGCTAGGTTACCCAAATCGCCAGGCGCGCCTCCTCGCACTTGCACGTTGCACGTATCCGTTTTTGAGTTACTGCTCCCAATAGGTCCAGGTTCAGTCTAAAAGTGCTGTGAATTGATCCAAAAAGAATTAGTAATAACCAGTTATTATCCATGGTGAGTGGCTCCTCAACCGATCCTCCAATGGCATCACATCCTAGATTCCTAGGGCGTGTTTGGTACGCGGCCTCAAGCCAGCCGGGCCATGCCCATGCCAGCCACAGCCGGTCCAAACTGGTGCAACCTACCTTGTTTGTTTCACTGTCCAGAATTAGCCAGGCCAAGCACAGATCGTGTTTGGTTACTTGTACAATTGAGTATGCCTACCCTGCACCAGGAATCTGGTAGACTTACAACCACACCTCTCCTTTCTCTCCTTATTGTCAATCCATGGAACACCTTGCTAGCGTGAGCACCTCAAGCACCAGAACTCCAGAGGAAGGAGGAGATGCACGTACCGATGCTGCGTCGTTCCACCATGGCTGGAGAAGGAGGATGCCTTCCGCTCGACCTGTCCCTGGCCACCACGGTGCCGTCGGCGTCGGCGTCGCCTGGCAAGAGGCGGCTGAGAGCGGGGCCGTCGGCGTTCGACGGGGTCTGGATGCGGCTGCGAGCAGCTCGCGTGCAGCCCGGCTCGGCGCAGCAGCGGCGCATCAACCGCGCGCAGCCATGGCAACACGGCGGCGAGGCTCTCCGGGAACCCCGGGACGCGGAAGGGGGCGCCGTCGGGGAGGACGTGGGCGCGTCGTCCTCCATGGGCTCCGCGGCCATGGCCTCAGCCGTGCTCCGCGTGGAGTCTCCTACGGCCTCCCCATCCTACATGGGCACCACACCGGGCAGCCGCGCTCGGTCCAGGGCAGCCCGACGCGCCGGGGACCGCTCGCCGCGCGCCGGGTGGGCCGCGACGGAGATGCCCCGTGGAGGGCCGCGCCGGTGAGGGCTCCTCTTCGTCGGAGGTTCTCCAGATCTGGTGAGGAGCGCGACGGAGATGCTCCCCTGCGGCGGCGGCGAGCTCCACTGCGTCGGACTTGAGCGGCTCCGTCCTCCTGCGTCGGCCTTTGCGGGAGGTGAGAACAAGGAGACTGCTGGGAGGTTACGCCGAAAAAATTGAAAAAATGACACTCGAATTGATTACGACCGATATTTCTGAGTCCCACGGTTACGCCAGCAGGCGCGTGAACGAGGATAGTATCTCAGCTGGCAGATGCTAAATATGGGCCAGGTGTGTTAAAGGTCACTAAGTATTTAGTTGGCTTTAAAAAAAAAATTGGGTGCATCAAATCATTGAATGAATGTATGAATGAGATTCATCGGTACAAAGCAAAACGCTAGTTTTCTGGTCACCGTTAGCTGAGATGAAGCGTTTTAATCACGCGTGGGACAAACTTCGGTAGGGCGGTAAGCGAGCGCCAGCTCACGCTCTCTCTCTTTCATTCTCTCTCAAGCAAGGATTTTTCTGACGTGCACTCGTATACAGCCCGCTTATGTGGCTTTATTATACTTGCTCAAAGGGAGTTGCAGCCAGGGGGGAGCCAGGCTGTCGGGCCAAGATAGCAAACACGCCCCTAGTATCTGATAGCACGTGAAATTCTGCAGAACTAATATCTTGCCTAACTCGCCTGCATGCATGTCGATTAGGCCGGCCGCGCCACAGGTAACTGAAACACATTGTGCACGGGGTATTAGACGCCCGGCCACCGCCGTGCCATCAACAGTGCATCAACACATCCATGGCGCCGGCGGCGGTCATCTGTAGCTCCCGTGCCTAACAGCCGACTGATCAACATCTCTATTCTCTACAGAAACCAACGGATGACCTGGTGACTCCGACATGATTCAGCGGCAGGACGGACAGGAAGCCGCCGAGAGCCTACCTTATCGGCAGGACTGACAGGTAGCAGCTCAGGTGACTAGGCGCCGTCGTCTCTCCAGTTGCCATGGCCAGCCTCTCATCCTTGCTGGCGATCGAGGTCCGATCCGTCACTAAAGCTAAATGCGCATGCTTCTGCTGTTTGGTGGTAGACGGTTATCTTTCTTTCGACTGCACGACTGCGGCTTTCAAAAAGTTGCAGATGCATGAAGCTGGAATTTGCTTGGACATTTCCGATGATCGCCGTAGTGGATGCCTCGTCACCATGTACGTGAGTGCGTGCTGGTGGGTCCGGGTGCCGTCGTCGATCGACGCGTGTCGGAATACTCCCACCATCCGAGCCTATAAAGCTGCGGCATGGGTTGAGATTTCGTGTTGCAACAACTTCAGAAGCTACAGCTGCAGCGCACAACAGATACTCCTTACTTCCAGCTCGGACTCGGAGCAAAGAGAGTAACTAGTTAGTTCTGACGATAGTGTCTGTGACTTGCGAGAACCGAGTGAGCATATGGCGGCGTCTCTGGTAGTCCTGTACACCGGCGGCAGCGGCCGGGGCGGGAGGGTCCGCGCCAGGAGCGGCGGCCGCCGGTCGGCTGCGGCGGTGAAGCAGTTGCTGTCGAGGTTGACGCGCTCTTGGAGGAGACGCGCGGCGCGGCCGAGGCGAAGCGCGGTCAGGTTTGGGTATGACCTGCATAGCTACTACCAGAACTTCGACGACGGCATTGCCTCCTACTCCGGCCACCACCGCTTGTAGCTGTACTGTGCCTAGCTAGTGTACAATAATTCGCTCTGGCCACTTCTGTACTTATGGTTGCTACTAATTGCCGGTGACTATTACTAGCTCGTGCAGTCATTGACTCATTATTTTTAATGGAAGTCATTGACTCATTATTGTACAGGATCACTGCTCCCTTTGCTTCTTCTGTGTAGTCAGAGCCTCAGAGGACTCAGGAGTAGTATATATGTAAGAGTAAGACTAAATCTGCGATCGAGATCAGCAGAATGATGCTTTGTTGTAGAGCTATTTGAAGCTTGGAATAGAAATGGTTTCTGTATAATTAAACCGATTATGAGATCTTCTGTCCTGTGTTCAGGCATACACATGTGCCACATGCACCCGTATCCAATTGTTCATCTACATCATGAGCTTTTTTCTTTCGAACAAGCTCGCGAGCAGAAGAGGTATGTAAGAAGAGGAACATCTGCCCAAACTATTTGTAGCTTCTTGTAGATTATTAGGAGATAAGCAAAGCTGAAATACTAAAGGTAGATGATGGGACACTCGCAAGAAACTAAACGCGAAACTCAAAAACCAAATCGCATGTGTTTCACATGATTGATCCTGAGATCCAGCACAGACAAACTGCGACCATTATTTGCATCCTTTACCTCTCAGTTATCAGTCGAGGCTATGGATGAAGATCCGACCTTATATGTTCAAGCCCTCCAGAAGATTTTCGGTGTATATTTTTCTTTGTTAAAATATCCACTTAGGTACTCCTAGGTTTATAATAATTTTGAGTTAAATCCATTAGCCCATAAATTTTTCACCATATGTCATTTAGGTTTACGAACTCTAAAATATATTTCTAGGTCCCTAAACTTGTCCAATGATACAGAACGGGTCCATGTTGCCCATGTCAATACATGGCAATTGAAGTGGCGTGATGATGTTGATGACACTGACCCATGGAATGCACATGTCATCCAGACCGTGTTTCTCTTCTGTCATCCATTGCTCTCTTTGTACAGCTTTCGGTGACACTTGGCGGATGCTCTCTAGTTGTGACCATGATTTTTAGGGATGAGGGTCTGGTGTAGATGGTGGTAAATGGCAAGTTTCAACTGCTGCATGAATGACATGTGGATCTAAGTAGCACATAAATATAAGTTTGTGGACCACTGTTGTATTTTTAAGTGAAGATGAAGAATAGACACGACACGTGGGAAATTTTGATGTTGATTCAAAATAGAAAAACATAGAAAAATAGTAGAAAACAAGCATTTTATATGCCTCCAACATCTGATTTCCGGAGCACCCAATTATACCAGTGATAAAGTCTCGTAATCATTATAAATGATTGTTTATGTCATCATTGTTTCAATAAAATACAAAAGGAGAGTTTTGAATTAAATGTGTAATAAAGATAATAGTTTCAAATTGACATGTGGATATGAAATTTGTAGCAACTAATATGATACAAATTTAAAAAGTAGAAATCTAGATTCATGATGCCAACCAAAGCTAAGATCTAAGATATGTAAACATATAGAGTGCCATGTACATAGAGAGAAACTATATATGCATAGAAAAATAATAGAGTAATTGATAAGTTCACAACAACCAAATAGAAATGTGTTGAAAATGACAAAAAGTTAGAGAGAACACAAAGATAAGTAATTTTCATTTATTGTAGGTACTAAGCATGAACATCTAATACTTATGTTTTCTATTACGACCCTAGCCTAAGTAGAAGGTAGCACTGTTTTATATATGGACTAGTAGTCCAAACTACTTCTTATATATATTACTTAATGCATTTTAGGTTGTTCTAAGTCAAACTATTATAAGTTTAACCTAATTTATAAAAATCTATATATATTAATTGATAATTATTAATTAAAATGTGAAATATATTTTAGATTATTTTAGCACTTTTGGAAATAATATCCATGCTTTTGCATATAGATTTGGTCTAAGATAATTTGACGTAGGAAAATTAGAAGTCAATATATTTAAGGATACAGATCCTAGACAATAAAAGTTGTTTAGTCTGGTAATGTGTCCAAAAGTTTTCTTCAACTTACTCTCTAAATCGCCATTTGAACGAAAATCACTTGCTATATCATTCCACACCCTCCAACAGCTTCTTTATATATCTTATACTCATTGTGGAGAACCAGCCCCACTTTTCATCTTCGGTTAGTGAGGATGACAATATTTGAAGATCAAATAGAATCCGTTGAATGACTTTTTTCAATCAAAATTTTAATTTCAATCATGAATACCGAGGATATAAAGAATCTCTTGAAGTCGTTCTTTAACCCTACACAAATCCTTAAAAAGATCCATGTAGTTATCCCTGACTATTGATGGATCTCTTTAGCAGGCAACAGCACCATTAAATCGGAAAAGACTAATCTTGACAGTCAAATGAAGCTACTGATAAACTGGCATCGGGTCAGGGCAAAACCTCAAAAGCGAGACCGGCGACTCATCCTTGTACCATGATGACTCGGTTGATTTGTACTACCACAGTCGACTGCGTATATGCTGCCATTCCACCACCGCGTTACGCCGACCATCCCTTTTTTGATCTGCTGATCATCCGTTCAGGCTGAAGACGCGCGCATGCAAATAGAAACTTCGCCTCTTCTAGAGATTTTTTGCTTTAACATAACACTAGTGCGTTCCCTTTCTCTTTCTTTAGGATGTAGAAATTCGTTGTAGAAAGTAGATACACATTCTAATCCGCTCCCATGTTGATCCTATTCCTGCGCATGGATGACTCATCAGCTCGATGGTATCTTTTTTTTTCTTTTCCTTTTTTTTAAGGTATCAAAAGAGTGAAAGACCATGTCTCTGACCGGAATCTGGAAGTTTGCCGGGCACACGGCGAAGCCCAAAAAACACTCGGCAAAGGCTCTGTCGAGTGTTACACTCGGCAAACGGCACTCGGCGTACACAGAATCGGCAAACGTTTCTTTGCCGAGTGTTTTTTACCGGACACTCGGCAAAGACTTTGTCGAGTGCTAAAACCGACACTCGGCAAAAAAAAAGCAATGTGACGGCGAGAAGACATTCATGGCACGTTTGCCGAGTGTCTAACGGCATAAGCACTCGGCAAATATGTCTTGTTCGCCGAGTGTCGACTAAAAAATAAACTCGGCAAACGATGGT